TTTGGAAATTATTAAGACATTTACTTTTATTCCATGAAGGAAAGAATTAAATTCATGAAAATTCGTCATACTTTTAGCACGAACAAATAAAACAAATGTGCAAAATTTCTAATTAATAGAATAATTAGATAAGTCCCGGTGAAATTTTAAACTTGCATATGTGTATTGACCTGGAGCAGCATTGCTGCGTCATTTTAACGTCACGCCAGTCGTAGATTTTTTTCATATTGATTTCTGAAATGATTCTCTAAAAAATAATAATATAAAATGTGTGTTGTTGTAACCCCATGTAGAATTACACATAAAAGTGTCACATACAGGTCGATTTAGTATCACGCAGTACCAATTTTTGCATAGTGGGCCAACGTTATTTAAGCCGTAATAATTGACGATCATCCGGAGCCTTTCTTTTTTACTCTGATTGAATTATTTGTAAGAAAAAAATATACCAATGCAAAAGCAAACCCTTAGACACATTTTTTTCGCTTTCTTATTGTTTTCGCAGGTCGTTTAGCATAGACAAAAGTTCTAGAAGACACTACACAAAATTTTAGGTATGTCGCTGTGCCGCTGTAAAGACGAATAATGACCCCCGTAGAATTATGACCGGGGGTCATTTTCCGACGTCGAAAAATGACCCCCGGTCATTATTCGACGTAGAAAAATGACCCTTTCGCCCGTAGAAAAAGTGGCATCACCCTTAAAATCTGCATATCCTACGTGAAGAAAAATGACCCCCGTAGAATAATGACCTCTGGTAGATTTGATCAGAAAAATATTTTTTTGGATTAAAAAAATTAAGAACTAATGAATCAAGAGGGCCATGGATAAAAATGCTCACCTGAGGTAAATTGAAGATATAGCGATGATCTGTTGTTCTCATTTAATCTTCCAAATGTCTTTTATGGTGAATTAGCAATGTACCTTATGTGGAAATGCTTTCATTCTGATTGACTTATGTATCATTGTTTAAAAAACAAACTTTTTTTATTTTCGCTTATACTATCCAGAGTCTAGAGAGAGAGAGAGAGAGAGCGAGAGAGAAAGTTATACTATCCAGAGTCCACAGAGAGAGAGAGAGAGAGAGAGAGAGAGAGAGAGAGAGAGAGAGAGAGAGAGATGTTTACAATGTCTATCTACCGGTTAATTAAGTTGCGTCCGAATGCCTTTTTAAGCCCATGATTTAAATAGTGTACATACATGAAATTTTCATACAAAAAGCAAAAGTGCCTTACAATTTTTAAAATAAGAATTACTTTTTAGAGACTTCTAAAATAACCGCCGTCAAGGTAGCTCAGTCCGTAAAGCGCTCGCCGTGAGTTCGAATCTCGGCCGCGACTGACCTGAGTCGATAAAAAAAATAGGTAGCAAATGTTCCTTCGCCAGGCGCTCGGCACTTTGAAGTGAAAGTTGCAGGTCCTTCGGATGAGACCTTAAAAACCGAGGCCCCGTGTCACGGCAGGCGTTAACACGATACATGTAAAGATCCCTCACTGCTCAATGGCCCTGAGTGCCGAGTAAAGGTCTAAATTTGAGGCCCTTCACCGGTATATGGTGACGTCTCTATATGAGCGAAAAATTCTCGAATTGGACGTAAAACAACATACAATCAATCAATCTAAAGTCAACCCGTTTGTTAATTGGCCATAAACGTCTATAAACAGTAAAATATCGAAATATGAAACAAATGATAAAAAGGATCAAGACTAGAATGTATGCTATTGCTAGCAAGAGTATGAGGGACCGTTCTGGTATTTACCGCCTTTAAGTAATATCACCTATTCGAATGTGTGATGTTACCTTTTTAGCTTTTGAATTTGTGATATCCCCTTCTCGAATAGGTGATACCACCTATTCAAATTAAGTATGAAATAACAACTGCTCCCAAGACTAAAGTGCATTCATTTACTCTATACAGGAAGTAAAAAGTTCAGTCTCTTTTCACTTAGATAATTATAACAGAGACAAAGTATCAATAAATATAGCAAAACTGCCTTCAAGTGAAATTTATATAACTTCACAGGAATTGAAAACAAATGGCGTTTTAAATGCCTTGAACTATAACGCAGGGAAAAAGGGCAGTCCGAATTTGCTAATGGTCAAAAGAAATCTAGTTTTTCATATGCAAACAGGTTATTTTATGGTCTTTTTATATACATTGTAACTTGCATACATAATACATTGTAAACAGTGTCTCCTCTCCTCTTTGTGCCAAATAAATGATTTTACAGAGCATCTAGAGTTTTTTGATCAATGCAATGCCGACATACTAGAGGGTATGTCTCATATTGAGTGCAGTAAGTCCATAGAAACTTTATTATCTTTTTGTAAAAGTTTGTGCAAGAGCAATGAAATCAATTTCATCAATTTTGAATCACTGCTAAGGAAATAAGACTGCTCTTTGAAGGCGTTTTGAAAGTTCATCCTTTACTTTGCATTGAAGCTAGATCGTCTTGTTTTTCGCATTCATTTTTATGTTATAAAAACGCAAATAGGTCATATAACTAATTCAAATTCGTGATATAACCAATTCAAAACAAAAAGGTGATATCGCCAATCCGAATAGGTGATATCACCTATTCGAATAGGTGATATCACCTATTCAACTCAAAATGATGATATCACCTACTCATTTCCAATAGGTGATATCACCAATTCAAAAATTGATATCACCTATTCGAATAAGTGATATAACCTATTCGAATAGATGATATCACCTATTCCATTTGAATAAGTGATATCACCTTTTCAAACAGGTGATATCACCTATTCGAATAGGTGATATCACTTAATGGCAATAAATACCAATGCTGCGCCTCATACAATAGAAATACACAATGATCCATAAATGATCCTGTAAGGAAAGTTTTGTACCTCTGTGCGTTAATTCACTCGTTCGTTGTGAGAAAAAGTTTGTCCACAGCAATGGAAACAGTTTTAAAAATCTTATATATAAATGTAAACGCATTTGTGAAGTTTCACAAAGATTTAACAAGCTAACCGTGAAAATATTAGTTGACAATTTTCCCCTATGACAACGGCGGTCAGATTTAAAAATCAAAATGTTTAATGCACAACTAGAGTAACTGTTGATGATCGTCATTTCTGAAACGTTTCATTACTTTACAGGTCTCTAAGTGACCACTAAAATTTGGGCGCCAGCTGGCGCCTAATCAAAAAAAATTTAGTCGCCAATGCAAATTTTTAGTAGCCAGGCAATTTTTTTTTTAAAAAAAGTTAATAGTAATCAATAGAGGACGTTTGCATATTAAAGAACAAAAAGGTGCTTAAGAAAACACGTCTATTGCTAAAACTAATTTCCTCTTTTTTAAAATTTCTTTTCGCTTCTTCAGAAAAATAAAAAAAATGTTAAAAGTTCCGGAATTCGACGATCGCCAAGTCAATTTAAAATGGTCGCCAATTTGGCGACTTATGGAAAATGTTAGGCGCAAATCAAAAATTTTAGGCGCCATGGCGACTAAATTAGTCGCCAATTAGAGCCCTGATTAAGTGTATCAAAGTCATGTCCGAGAAAATGTTCAGACAAAATAATAGGTCTGGCGATAACAATATATCGTCCTGACTTTCCTTTTACCAATAGCCACTGTGACGTATCTATTGTGCAATTTTAATTTTGGGCTTACACAATAGGTCTAATAGAAAGAAACACACGCCCTGTTTTTAAACAAATTTTAATTGTGTGTTCGTCTAGTATTACATGTAATCAGAAAAAACGTAAGAGAATCCAAACCTTGGCATCAATCATCTCTTTTGAACTTTGTATTAATCTGTTCCGATGGGGGTCATTTTTCAACGGGGGGCAATTTCTTATAGGTTGCACATATAAAAAACTGACCCCTAGGGTTCTTTTTCTACAAAAAATTAAATTTTTCTACGGCTAGGGAGTCATTTTTCGATGACCCCCCGGTCATTATTTTACGGGGGTCATTATTCGTCTTTACACCGCCTTGACGTCAAAATGCATTTTGTCGTATTTTCTATACCATGCAAATTTTTTATGATCTTCGTATCTATGACACTTGCACAAAATAAAGTCAAAACAAAATTGAAAAATTCAATACATACTTTGAATTATTTTAGCTCTAACTGTGGGTTTACTATGAGTTTGAACGTAGATGTTACATTTATTCAGTATCTGATTTCGTGACCGCGGGTACCCCTTCCATTGACACATCAATATACGATTGATAAGAACAAATTAACTTTTTGTAAAACATTTTTGCTTTTATTAATTCTTAGTGTTGCCAATTGTTATCAAAAGGCGTTCTGTAAAAAGAGGAATAAACACAATGTCTCAATAATTTCCGAAAAGCCCACATATCTAATGAATAAATCTGCTGATGAAGAACAGTAGGGTCAAATGACTCAAGTGAGCGTTGTGGCCCATGGACCTCTTGCTAGGATATTGAGCACAAATTGTTTAAGAAAACGACTTAATTGGCATTATTGCCTGTTGTCTAATACTTTTTCTTTTTTGTAAATATAATGTTTTGTAAGTAAAACTTAAAATCCTTCTCCACTGGTCATGGCTTTAGTACATTTTGGAAAGAGAGTTTTAAAATATTTTTCTTAGAACATTTTTCTGATTCATCATCATCATCATAAAAAATCACTCTCTCTCTCTCTTTTGAAAGGAATGTTTAAAATAATACCACACTATATTTATTTTTCATTGAAAAGGTGAAATTACGAGCATTCATCAAAATCGAATGTTGAAAGAAAATTATTTATCAGTAGCCTGCCTCGTTAAACAAAATGATCGTACTCAGAACTTTTAAAGAGTTAAGGACAGTTCCTGGACATAAAATTGGTAAAACGTGATAAATTCTCTTTTTGTATCAAACTGTGTGATTTTTCATGCGGTTTGAGATATTATCAAAGAAGACTCTACAAAGAAAATTCAAACTATTTGATAACATTGTTACTAATTAAAGATTCGACAGTTAGGAATACAAAATGCCATTTGAATAACAAATGTAAAGAACATAACAGTGAAGTTTTAATGGCGTCAATGTTTCTGACATTTTGATGATTCTTTGAAACACCTTCGAAAACTTTTACTGCACGCACAATACAGAACAAAATTAATAGCAAAATTGGTATAATACATGATTTGGAGACAATGCTGAATTAGAAAGAGATCAAAATTTTCTTGTCGTCTTTTTAAGAAATCATTAACCAGTATAAAAAACCTAAATCCATGGCTAGGAAGATTGAGCACAAGGAACACCGTTGACACAATGATTAACATAACAGTTAATCGAACTTGTGCCTTGGATAAAATATTAAACATCGGGGAAGTGGAGGTGTACATTCTTCCGTGGCTCATTTGGAATTGTCGAAAGTAAAATCTCCGAATAGCTCGAATGACAGCAAGATTAAATACAAAAACAGCGGCAATTGGTACTATAAATGTAATAATACTGTCAAAGTAGGTAATGACACGAAGAACATGGTAATAACTCTCTCGAATTCTGCATAATTGCCTTTCATTATCGTCAAGCTGATCTGTTTTCATAGTGAAAAAGCAATGGGAATAAAATAGCATAGCAAATGATGTTATGATAGTCAATGCAATCAAAACTCGCTGTCTAGAACACATCCGGGGACCTTTAAGAGGATGGCACACGACTATGTATCTATCCAACATTATCAGAACCACATACCAAATGGACAAAAAGCTCGTGACATAAGTGACATAAATGGAGATCATACAGAATATTCCTGACTGGGAGGCGAAACGGGATCTGTCGATACTACCGAACCAGCTAACCAATAAGGCAGAAAGGAACCACGTGTCTGACACGCTCAGTGCCGCCAGATAGACGCTGGAAGGCTGCTTCGCAAAACTAGTGAAGACGAAGACACGAAAAGATAACGTGTTTCCAATGATCCCAAAGATGCACAGGATTGGAATGAAGTATTTGTAGAGAATATGAACGAAGTCGTAAAAGTTCTCATTTTGATCCAAAAAGTCCGTGACATTTAATGCTACATCAGATGTGTTGAAAGTTTCGTTTGAGATATTTAAAGCTCTTTCCACCATTGGCACAAATGTATCCTGAAAAAAGACAGAAACAAAATTGGAGTAGAGTTTAAGACATTGAAGAGTAATAGAAAATACAGGAAACGAAATCAATATTTTGAAAAAGAAAACTTTCATTGAATTGTTATCAGATATACTTTATCAGCAAAATTTTAACAATGTTTGCTGTGACTGTAATTAACAAAGGATTAACACATTAATAATTTAGAACATACAAGTTTGATGAATTACCTAATCATGTTATTATTATTTAATGCTAAAATAACTTGAGAGTAATTAAGAATAGAGATGAAACAGCAGCTACTCTGTTTGATAAAGTGTTTATTGCCAGCATGATTATGTAGTATTAATCTACGTCTCTTTACCGTTATCCGTAAGATCTTTTTCATTAATTTAAATCAATACATCTGTAATGGATAACAGAAACCCGCTGATGTAAATCTAAATTAACACTAAGTAACCGTAGACCCTTTTACTCTCATTTTTTTTTTATTAAATAAGTTCTGGAGATTTACGAAAGGCGTGTCAAATATGAAGGCCTAATTTGAATTTCAGACTGGATGTGCTATATATACACAGCTAAACGGATCAATACATAGGGCTCAAAGGGTGTGGCCGGTTAACAGAGTACGCGTACTCCTCCTAGGCACCTGATCTCACCTCTGGAATTTTTTTTATGCCCTGTACATAGATTTGTATTGTTTGTAGATTTGTATTGTTTGTAGATTTGTATTGTTTGTAGATTTTGTATTGTTTGTAGATTTGTATTGTTTGTAGATTTGTATTGTTTATAGATTTGTATTGTTTGTAGATTTGTATTGTTTGTAGATTTGTATTGTTTGTAGATTTGTATTGTTTGTAGATTTTGTATTGTTTGTAGATTTGTATTGTTTGTAGATTTGTATTGTTTGTAGATTTGTATTGTTTGTAGATTTGTATTGTTTGTAGATTTTTTCAGACCGATCACTGTTCGTTATTTTAAACTGAGTTTACACACCCTCACACACATACACACCAACCTATATATATATATATATATATATATATATATATATATATATATATATATATATATATATATATATATATATATATATATACCCAAATATATATACAGTAAAACTCGTTTAGTACGAACACGGATATAAGGAATTACGGATAGAGCGAAGTTTTTTGCAATCCCCGGCGAAATTCTTAACAATTCCTTGTAAACTATTACGGATATAACGAACTCGGATATAAATAACGAAATTTACATCTTTTGTAGCGAATTTTTAAAGAATTTAGTTTTTAAAATATTGAACTGACATTTACTTTGTAAGTATATATATTTAAAACACTATTCATCCGAAAATTTTTGAACTAATGAAATTTTATATTTTATACTTCCCTAAATACATTTGGAAGTCATACTTCAAGGAAAAAAATTTATATTGCAAACTCGCTATGTATACTCTAACGAATTTGTTGTACGGATATAACGAATTACGGATATAGCAAAGTAAATTCTTAGGTCCCCAGAACTTCGCTATAACCGAGTTTTACTGTATATATATATATATATATATATATATATATATATATATATATATATATATATATATATATATATATATATATATATATATATATATATATATACACAAAATGATGATGATATATAAATGTACACGAAGTTAAAAAAAATCTGTATTTTAGGATTTCATAATTGTTATGATCCTTCAGTCCATTGTCATAAAGATTCTTTATAGTATTAATTATATTCTTGTAATTCTTTTAGTCTCCTTACTGGCTTAATGAATCTGTATGTCCAATAGATATCAAAGAGGAATATTTAAATGGAAAATCTGTAAGCTTAAAACTAATCCATCATCAATATTTATAGTGTTTTATTATTCTTAATGCAGTAATACATGAAAAGCAAGAAGTAGACTAATTGTATTTTCCTTGTAATAAAAATGGTAGTAACTTTCTTCAACATTGTAATTTGCTATGCAATCATGAGTGTGCGATAATAGCGTTAGGGAATAATAGGAGAAAGGGGAATAATAAATATTTAAAATATTTTGCTCTCGATAACTGTATACGAACTTTAAGAAAAACCAAGATCTTAAATTAAATTTGTTAAGTTTTTCTAGGGTAAAAATCCAAACAAAATGCTTTATTCCTTTACAGGATAGTAAAATAGAAACTGTGTATCAAAACAGAAATGATGATGAGGTAGAGGACAACATTTATCTCATCAAAGCCTTTTTTTATTTAAATATTTAGGATTTCCAACGTTCTGGCATGAACATCACTGTAGAGACATAATTTGTGGAAATGCGCATCTGATGCATCAAAATTGGTACCGTACATGTATATGATTTTCATTATGACCCCTGGGTCGAGGCCTCTGCTGGTAGACTGTTAGTTCCCGAGGGTCTCTACAGCCCAGTAGCTAAGTACTAGCTTGAAAATACGGATATATATTTGAATGCTGTTGTAAAATTTAGAAATTTATTTCAAAATTAAGGACAATCTCTCTCATGCAAAGCTCTGATCCTTCGACGAATTTGGCTCCAATGTTTGGCACCTTTTTTCAGCTCTTCAAAGTCTTTTTTATCTAAATATTTCGTATTTCAAATGATTTGGCATGAGCATCACCAAGGAGACATAACTTGTCGAAATGCGCATCTGGTGCATCAAAACTGGTATCGTATATGATTTACATTTATATCAAAAGTCTAATTATATACCTTTTACTAAAGAATGGCTATATTCAACTATGCAACAGAAGCGTATCTTTTTAAACTTTCCTGTTCAATCTGTGAGGATACGATATCAAAAATGTAGTTTATGTATATCACTAATCATACATTAAGAAAGAACCTCAAAGAATACGGAAAACAGTTCAGTGTATTTTCTCATTTATGAAGTATTTTAATCTTTTATCTTCACAAGTAAACTCTTGTGTTTTATTGTACAGCTTTAGGATAAAACATGATTTTGTATAAAAGGAGGATAATAATGTAAATTTTCAACAATATCACATAGAAATAAAATTAAGATTTGAACTTGTATGTGGAGTGAAGATTATGTAAATAATATATTTTACATACCTATTAACAGTGTTGCTCAAGCATTAACACCAAACAGCACACCTTGTAAATAAGTAGTCCATGAAATAGATTCCAAAAAATAAATGATGATTACTCCGTTGAATATTGCATTTGATATAAAAACCCAGCGCGTTAGTTATATTCACTATAGCGGTAATGAAAATAAGTTCCTCCCTGGAGTAAGTATTCGTCACTGGACGTGTAACCGAGATTTAAGCTTTCTTAATAGATAGCAGATAGCAGCAGCCACAGTTGTATTTTTTTCAGCTGAGGAGAGGTGTGTTGTGAAGCTTCCGTCAAAGTTACGATCTATAATTCCTCTGTTAATCGATTCAGAGTTTACTACCTTCTCTAAATGATAGAAACCCACTCAGAGCAGCTGTGAAAGGCCAATGAAACAATTAGATTAAATTCATAATCGGATATCTGATAGAGGTATTGTTATTTGAAAATATTATCATTGGAAACTTAATATATTAAATTTCTCCCCAGGATATGAACTGATTGGAGAAGAATGAAATAAAAGCTTGATATCATAGATATTGCAGTCTTGTTTTGTACTTATTTTGACTTCAGTCAAGTGAAAGGCACAAAATGCAATTCTAAATTATAATACCCGTAATTCTAAACTTTTAATATATACAATGACATCATAATGATTGCAGGTAAAATATATTTCATACTTCGATAACAAATATTATAATATTATATTTCTGTATTGGTAATTAGAAGATAAAAAGTTGTCATATGAGAGAGAGAGAGAGAGAGAGAGAGAGAGAGGACTGATAAATCCAACTTTACCTGGAACTCTTTTACGTCATTTGGATATTTCGATAGTTTAGCTTTAAGAATATCAAATTCATCGGAGTATTCAAATGCGCACATGCTTACTTAAAATCTAGATAAACACACACACTTTCGTAAAAAAAAAAAAAAAAAAAAAAAAAAAAAAAAAAAAAACCATTAGTAATTCACCAATAATAGTACATAAAGTCAAATTTGTCTTCAGTAATTTCTGTTATATTTTGATGCAGTCCAATACTCTGATAAAGATATGTTTCTCTATTAGAATAAACTGTATATAGTATACAGAAACAGTAGTTAGTAATGAATATTTCTGTTGTTTTAATTAACATTGTCAACATTTTCCTTCATTAGTAACATATGTTTCAGTTTAAGTTTTCAATATACACGTTTTTTCCTTCACAGGTCCTTCAAAAATGGACTGCAAAGCATGGACGATATGAATGTGTTTCTGACTGAAATCTAAAGAAAAGTTTCCAGGTTAATTGTATTGAAAATATGTATTATAAAAAAGTTCTTTTATTATGAAACATCTATCTAATATTATATATTGTATTGTAGTGTATCCTTCACCATTAACCTCAGAATCAAAAGACTGTTTCACGTATCAAAAAAGATATATTATAATAGTTTTTTACCATCTACAATTAAGTTATGGAATGATTTGCCAGATAGCACGAAATCTGCAACAAGTGTAGCTAAATTCAAACAAAGTATTCAAAATAAAAATCTTGATGATAAAATAAAATCAAAATTATACAGTTACGGACAAAGGAAATTAAATATATTCCACTGTCAGTTGAGAAACTTGTCAAGTAATCTTAATGCAGATTTGTTTAATCATAACTTAGTTGGTTCACCTAAATGCTTAAAATGTGGTTATTCTTTTGAAGATTCTGTTCATTTTTTCTTTCAATGCCCATGTTATGATCTTGCCAGGAACTCTTTGATCACATATATGATTGATCATGACATACCAAGAGATATCAATATTGTATTGTCTGGTTATGATTGTCTATCTCTTAAAGAAAATTTGTTATTATTTGATCAAGTTCATAATTTTATAAAAAATACTAAAAGATTTTAGAATGTGAAAATGTAATAAGCATTAATGTGCAGCATGTACACTGAAAGTACATATACATATATGGCTCTGAGCCTCTTCCCCTTTTCCGTTATCCCCACCCTCTTTTTTTTTCTCTCTCTCTCTCTCTCTTTCCTTTCATTATTCCACCTTATTGTTCAATTCCCCTCTTTTTTCAATTTTGTACATTGTATCCTCCTTAAAAATTAGTCTAAAATACATGTCTTTGTAAAAGTTATGATATATATTATTGTAACATTTCATGATTTGTACCTTGATCTTTAATGGAGAGAACTTATATAGGCCATTTTGCCTGCTGTTCAATCCATATTCATTGTATATACATTTATGTATATCATGAATAAAATACTTCTTAAACTAAAAAAGATATATACGTTAATCTTTTTAATGAGATGAACAGGAATCACTACTTCACCCCCATTCTCTGCCCCCCCCCCCCCTCCAATGAAAAATAACTGACATCCACCGTCATTCTCGATCCTCTTTAAGTTGCTTGTACCATAGGCACTCCCAGTCTAAATTTATGGATATGAATATTTCTTCCATATACCATATAACATACCTTACATTAATGAAACTAAATATATTTTCATTTACTAATTAAAAAACATGCTTGTGTATAGGTTTATAAGTAAAAGACATGTAGACTTTGTGTTAAACTGATCACATTAAATACTTACGGCAACTTGTCTTTGAATGTGGCGAATTGTTAGTGGCGATCTCTCTGGTATTTTAGTGCATGCATGCAAATCCCGACTATTCTCAAAAGCATCCGTTAAACCTTGCTTATATATTTTCTTTGCGGAACTCAGGGTCCACGCAAAAAAATCTAACAAATGATTATCATATAATGAATTATACATACATGTGTATAATGGAATCAATTTATCAACGTAACTATGACAAAATAATGATATCTGTATATTTTGTCACGAATCACAAATGAAAATCTTGATATATGATTACATGTTACAGGCGCATTGAGGTGTGCACTTCTTACTTTCTGTTTATACCTTTTGTATCAACTTAATCTGATTGGCACTTCTCAGTAAGAGAGGCAAGCCAATCAATTATCTAATGAATTTGTCAGGGTGTTCTACGGCCACAAGTGGACACAGGACTCCTGATGTTGTGAGGATCTTACACATATAATGATTCTTCAAATGATGCAATACAAATAACTATATGCTTCAAGTAGCTATCATTACTAACACCATGGTTTCAATGTAATTTTTTAAAAAATAAAATAAATAAATAAAAGGTAAAGGTATGCAACATAATTTGATTTGCATGAAACATTAATTTGAATGAAGTATAAGAGAAAATCTAGTTGTGCTTAGTTTTTGTTTTCGGTATATATGTGTGTAGTCTTTGTAAAGACCCCCACTTTGTAAATAAGTATTCTCTTTGTAGTTTGTGGCATCTATCTCTTAAATGGGATGAATTGAAACATTAATCGTTGTCGAGGCAGATCTTACTACTATCATGAGAAAAAAAACCAAAAAAAAAAAAAAAAAAAAAAACAAAAACAAAAACAAACAAGATGTAATACCTTCTTATGCTGAATCCATGTTTCCATATCCTGTAACACTAAATGTATCTTTACGTTCTTCTGAACCTCTGCCAGTAAATAGAACCGTAACGTGTTATGTACTAAATTAATGTACGTTATAATTACAGTAAAACACGCTTAGAGCGAACACGCTTATTATGAATTGACGCTTACAGCCAAGTGATGTTTATTCTCCATGCCCCTAAAATATATTGTGAACTTAAATTATATAACGAATTACGTTCATAACAAAGCAAAATCGTCTTTCCCTGGCACTTCGTTATAAGCATGTTTTCTGTACATATAAAGGGCTCAGAGAAAGCAAAGTTATGAAATGAATTTGAAAAATAAACATAGATGAATATACTTGAACTGATTTTATTATTATTCTCGAGAAAATGGGGACTTGTCAATGTTCAAAGCTCACGTCTGGCATTACTTAAACATGCTTCACATAAATAGAAAGGAGCGAGGAAGAGCCCTTCCCATGAATCATTTATGTATCCCTTTAACTTCTCTTTTAAGTATCTCATTCTTACAAGATGTTTGATTTATCGGTTTGTTCTTTTGATATTGCATGAATAGTATGTTCCTTTCCTTCTCTGCCTTTGTGAGTAATAATTAAGAGTAATATGCGCTGGTTTTTATCATTATACGATTCATATGCGTGATTATTAGGTACAGATATTGCTTTAAGTTAAACTCAGAAAATCGATGCTTCTATCAAACGAAATTTCTTTTTAAATAAATTATTAAGCGTCTTAACGTCCACAATTAATTCAAATTGATGAATGCATTTTTAATTTCACAGCTTACGGTGTTGTGAAATCTATTTCAAATATTCTCTTGACGGTGATTGTAAGTTCCTCTAAATAAGTCTGCATGTGTAGCAAATGTTTAACCTTACTGCCTACAGCGTTTATATTTTTATATTCACATATTACACAAATATTATTGCTTTAAAACCTTTATGATGAAGAGCAAAATCCTTGTTTTAAAAATAAACATCGGATTAGCCAAAATACATCTCAGTCGATGAGGCAATTCCCTTCATAAAAAAGTCATCAATTAGAATTTTATCTTCTTTTTATCATTTTTTTATCCTACCATTCCACGGAAAGGTTAAAACAGTGATCAGACCTCTGCTATCTCGTCTGCTGGGGAAAACAATATATCAAAACATCGATCTACAACACTGTGCCAATTTAGAGTAATTAATTAATTATCTTGATTGACAACCAGTAATACATTATGAACAAAACAGACAAATAAAACCGTCAAAATGAAGGATTCTATTATCTCTAATTACAATACCAGACAGAGAATTACACACACTTAGAGAAGCAGATAAAGGAGTCAGTAAATAACGTTACAGACGAAACAAATGTATAAAATTACTGTCCAAAAAGAAGAAAAGAACTTTATCTGGGTTAGAAAACCTGAGGTGGATTGTGACAGATACAAAACCTATATAAAAAAGAAGCTATCTGTATAATGGCATATATAGACACCAAAGACTCAAAAACTTAGGAAAGATAATCTTAATATTCCCGGAAGAGCCGTCGCTCAATGATCTGAAGATCGTGGGTTAAAACCCCGGCAGCGACGGGCCTAAATCTTTAAAAACTATTTCGCCAAGCTCTCGGCACTTTGAAGTGAAAGTTGCGATTGTTTCAGATGAGACATTAGAAAATTGAGGTCGCGTATGTGGTGGGTGCTGTTACGTTAAAGATACCTCACTGTTCAATGGCCCTATAAACTGAATAAAGGTAAATTCGAAGCCTTCGCCGATTTATGGTG